GTGTAGGTCCAGTCTCTCTAACGGCATGGTGTTTGTAGACGACGTAACAAAGATACTAGCCAGGGGAGAACGAGTGGAAGTGTGATATCTTGACTTCCAAGAAGCCTTTGATTCAGTGAATCATAGGCTACTCGCTGAAAAACTGAAAGCATTTAGGATAGCACCTAAAGTAGAATGTTCGGTATTGTCAAGCATAAAGGGAAGATAATTCCAGGTGAGATTGGACGAGAAGATTTACAGAGTGAAGTGCCGCAAGGTTCTGTGCTGAGACCATTGTTATTTGTGGTGTTTGTCAATGATCTAGCGAACGAACTGGAAAATCCATGCTTTTAGTTTGCGGATTACATCAAGATAATTAGGGCAGTGACAGACGACAGAATGCAAAGAGATTTAGATAAGGTGTATCAGTGGTCGTTGGCGTGGGATCTCCCTCTCAATGTAGCAAAATACCAGCATCTCATTGAGGAGAGAGAACCAAGGTTCAGTCGCCATATGGACCCTCCGGGGGATAAGAGAACTGAAGGGGGTAACTGAGGCTAGAGATCTGAGAGTATTAATGGGGTCAAACTTCAGGCCAAGCCAACAGTGCTGTCACGGTGCACAGAAAGCCACGCGGGCGCTATACCAACTGAAAAGAGCGGTATGTTCGTAAAAGCCTAGTGTTCTTTTACCGCTGTCTAAGGCGTTTGTTCGGTCACACTTGGAATATTGCGTCCAAGGGTGGAGGCTCAAAGTGGTGAAGGACGGCAGGCTTATCAAACAGGTACAGCGTCGCTTCACCGGATGGTACTGTAGAGAGATGGAGTAGGATCAAAGGTTGCAGGAGTTGGGGCTGTTCTCTATCAAGAGGAGATGAAGAAGAGGCGACATGATAGAAGTGTTTAAGATGAATGAAAGCCTGACGCAGATAGAGGGCGCCAATGTACCCATTTTTACGATTAGAGATAGTGAAACCCTTAGAGGACACGTTGTGAGAGTAAAGAAGGACAGACCCAGACAGGAGATCAGAAATCACTTCTTTGCAGGAAGAATGATAAAAGACTGAAATAATCGGTCGAGTGAAGTAATATAAGTCGATACGGTAACACAATTCGAGCTGCAGTTTGAGAGAGCGTGGGTAACATACTTGGTGATGAATGAAGAACGCACCAGAGAAGTTGTATCACGGTGACTAAATAAGGGACTTTACTTTTTGCGTGCCGGTCTGTTACACGGAGCACGAAAATAGAGAATCTACCATTCCCCAAAGACCTTACCGTCGTCAAGTCAAAGCATTGAGGGATCTAAGAGCCCACCAGAGCAAGAAACTGGTCAAGATACAAGGTCCAAGACCTGGGATCATTGAGGTTATCATGGAACCCGTAGAATACCTAAAGACTTTAATTTGGCATCTCGCCGTCAAGTCATGGATCGCTGAACTGAACAATCTGCCTTTCAGAAAACATTAAGAGTTCTGGTAGCGAAACTGGTGCGCGGTTTGAATATTGAAAGTGGTTAGTCATTTTCGATTATCTAATGATAACATTAGTGTATATTTCACGAAGCCCGTGCTTCACTTTATCTGCAAATCTTTAAATGATTCTCAAAAGTCCGCTCATTGTGTTTTCCTTGACTATTCTTCCGCTTTTTATTCCATTCCACGATCTCTTATTCTGCAAAAGTTACAGTCATTCTGTTGCCCCGCCAACTTACTATTATGATTGAAAGATTATTTCACAGGAAGGATTCAAAGAACAAAAGCAAACGGCACTATTTCAAAAACCGTTAATGAATAATTCTGGAGTTCTTCAGGGTGATGTGATCTCTCCCTTCTTATTTTCAACTTTCCTCAGTGACTTACGCGCAATCCCACCAGCAAAGACCTTCAATAATTTAGATGATGTTGTCTTAAGTCAAGCTATTTCCACTAATTGGACATACAATCATTCTCCTACAGTTTGATACAAGTGTTACGGTCGCCCTTTAGGAACTATGTTACACGCGTATCGTTCAGCCGAACAACTTCGTGATCCTGAAATTTGTACGATTCTTTATCGCAAACCCCACAATCAACCGAAACGTCCAATAATAATAGAGCACAACAAACAGCGCTCAATAGTGGAATCACTTATAATACGGTATCCGAAAATGTACAGTGATACAATAAATTTCGTATGCATACTTGACGGTGATCCTCAGTAGGCGGACCGTACGATGATAGACGAACAAGTGGAGTGTTAATGATCAACCAAGCGGAATCAAACGAAAATCAAAACCGTTATGTTTCACAAGAATAATAATAAATGGTACAGATAAACAAGGGCCAGATTAACGGAGAGAAGAGAGAATGCCACTCACAAATCTATCTGGGTCATCAAAAGTTGTTTTCATCATCATCTACGGTGCTCTAGCCGCCGTAACAACAAGTATAATCATTCTCGAATCAATCCGACCTCCGGTTGAATACTTCTAAATTTTTGAATGCATTTTTAGTCATTCCGATCTGATTATCCCTCGGAACCCTCAGTCATCAACTCCGTACCCATCACCAGACCACATGCCACCAAATACTTAGGAGTCACCATAGATAACAATCTACGGTGGTCCTCTCATCGGCTTCCTTGTGTTGGCAGACTGCGTCGCTTATCTTTTCAGGTACGCAAGCTTCGTCAATTTTGCGTCAGACATGAAACTGTATGTTCTTTTGTTTATCAACGCATTTTCCAGTCATACTTTATTGTTCACCCATTATTTTCCCTGGACTACTTAAAAAGGATTTCATTTCTCTACATCGAGGTCTGGTAATTATCAACCGTGTTTCTCTTATTCCTTTAAACACTCTCATCACAAAATTGTGTAAGTTGCATATCGCTCCATGTGAGAATGTCTCTCATAAGATATTAAATGACCCCAGTCATCCGCTCAATTCCGATTTATCTGCTTGCCGTTCTCACGCTACAACCCGATCCAATTTTTGCTGCTTACCCTCACGCATAAACATTTATCGCAGTCAACGGTTCCCTATCTAGTTCGTATTCTCACTGACAAGGCGAAGATCCGTAACAAATTAATCTTACATCTACAAAGATGAGCACCATTTATTTTTATCATTGTTGTATACGAATTTTGAATTCATCATTTTATCCCATTGTAATGGTGAACACATTTTAGCTGAAATATAGGCATAGTTGCCCGTACAAGTCATCTATAATACAATAATACAATAATACAATGAGAAAACAAGTTCTAAGAGCAGAAAAAGAATAGTCAAAGTGAAAGATTCATAATTTTATAGGAACAGCTGCAGTCGAGTCAAAGACAATGATACAAAATAGACAGCAAATGGCTTATAAACAAACGGTTTCAAAGATCGATACAAATAAAACAAAGAACAATTGGCTTTGAAGCTTCATCTTTAACGAACTGTTTGCTTCATATTATTTATATTATTCAGGCGTTGGTAGCTTTGATGTGGGACTGACTGCACGCGTGACACCTAACCTTAAAACATCTTGAAATACCAGGGGAGGCAGGGGGTGTGATCCTCAAGCTGGTCCGGACTGTGGACGCATGTAATCAAAACGTTGAAAACAGCCATGCCCAACACCTATTGCCGGAGCCAAGTTGTTCATTGTAGGTGTAGAACCCAAGCTTTCGGCAGGCCCAAGTCAACCGAATCTGGAGCAAACAGGCGATAGTCATTCCTAGGTGTTTAGTCTATTTTCGTTAGGTTATTGTAACATTTGTTGTAACGTTTATCATAGTGCTCAGTACTGTTCGTCTATTTAGCGGTTTACTTGCATATTACTTGTCGGTTTGAAAGTGGAGTACATAATGTCCATTTTTTAAACCGTTCTAGTAGGACAATTCAATTAATTACTTCCTAACTATTTTTAACCGTCTCAGTTTTTTGCCACACATTTGTATTTTATAGACAAACCATTCAGCTATTTTATTATTATCACCGTAGCTGACGTAATCAAAATTTGGGTTATCATAAATTTCAATTTAAATTAAGAATTCAGGATCTACTTTTCGATGGAAACAGAAAGCGTAGACCTGCAAATGATCATACAGAGGCCACGCAAAATTGGCCATCTTTGCGGTCTAATAGCTTGCGGGAAAGCAGGTCACGAAGGTATACTATGCGATGCGGGCAAGTCGTGGTACCACCAAAGGTGCGGTCAATTGAGGAAGAAAAAAACATATATGAGTATAACCAACTTATGATCTGGGTTCACCTTAACTGTTTTTCCTACTGCACAGAAAGGTTGAAGGAGACGAAGTATCTCCCACTCCGAAGTCTATTAAACCGCAAGTGAACTAGTGCAAACCTGTAGTCAAATGCAATGTAAACATTCATTATTACGAAAAAGAAGCCACAAATAATTCACAACAATGCCTCGTTCCTTCTCCACTGAACATGAGCAGAAAGGAAGGGGAATGGATAGAAATGAGACAACGAGTGGCCCGTAAAACCAAGGCGGCTTCAAACCTTAACTTCCACAGTGCGATAATGGTGTTGCAAGCTTGTTTAGTGCAGCGTGCACAGGAATTACGGCACCTCCGGGATAGGGCTGCTTCTACATCCATCACACTGGATAAACTCGAGAGAAACACTGAGGTAGCATTGGGAAGATGTAGGAATGTAGGTATAAAAGGAGTACTGGAACCACTTGGTCAAAGTACGAATAGCAGAACCCAGCACATAAGAGGACTTCTTCTCACACTACTACGGACCGACGACATACCTGAAGAAATACACATAAAAAGGACTTTGGGTTTGGAAAATGGAATGGAAATGATGACAGAGCTAGGCCTAGACCAGTGCTGGTAAATTTCGCTCCACCATGAGAGACAACCGGACGTGCAATTAACTGTGATGAAAAGCCAAGATTAAATTCTTTTAAGGGTTTTTGTCAATAGACCTCGTCAATATGGCTGACCCGCTCGTATCCAGCGCTGTTGGGATAGTTGAACCTGTTGTACAATGGCCTACAATTTAGTGTGCATATGAATTTGAAAAATCCGTCGGTCAGGGTGCCACCTCTGTCGTATTTAAAGCACTGTGTCCAGCCAACAGTCGAAAGTGTACTATCAAAATCATCGATTTAGAAAAATGTAGTACGTCTGCACCGCTAGAGGAAATCAACAGAGAAATTAAATCCATGAAAATTATGAAGAATGAAAATATCGTAGCGTATTATGCCTCTTTTGTTGATGCTACGAAGCTGTGCATTGTCATGGATCTACATCAACGAGGTTCACGTCTTGCTGTTATCAAATACACACAAAGTAAGCGAAATGTTTCGTACGGAGTGTTTGACGAGACTACCATCGCAACGATATTGAGAGACGTATGGCTAGAATTGGCATATATCCATGAAAATGGTCCCGTACATCGTGACTTAAAATGTGGCAATCTTCTGGTGAAAGATGATGACATCATACAGATAGCCGATTTTGGAGTGACCAGATTCTTAGCCACGCAGCCTCAGACCACCATTGGTAGTGTTGATTTGCGGCGATTCTCATTTGTCGGCACGCTATGCTGGATGGCTCCGGAGGTGATGCAACAGGCCCGAGGTTATAATCAAAACGCCGATATCTGATATTTGGGTATCACCACAATCAAAATAGCCACAGGTCAAGCACCTTATACGAACTATGCTCCCATGAAAGTCTTGATGTTGACGTTGCTAAATGATCCTCTCGATATTGATACAGTCGCCGTAGCAATCAGTACATCAACTATGGCCAAAACTTCCGGAAATTCACTCGTGTCTGTCTGTTAAAGGATCCGGGGCAACGATTATCTGCTCTCGAATTACTGGGTCATACCTATATCAAAGCAAAAGCGAAAGATCGTGAATTTCTCTGTCTAGTGCTTCTTGGTGGCAAAATTCCTCCGTCAGCGATGCGTGTGAGCAAACACGCAGACGATGGTGCCGAACGACGTGATCTAAAGAACAACAGTACCGAATGGATTTTCGATACAATCGGACGCGCCTCGTCTCAGCGTGGCCTCGATAGCGAAAAAGACAGCGATGAAATGTATCTCGGGCATGGATCACACCAGTTTGGTACTTATGCTCCAGAAACTATCTTCCATACAGCTACTTCCGGGTCACCCGGTGCGTTCGCTGCAGCGGCTGCCTCGGCGGCAGCATCACATGCAGTTGCTACGGGAAAATCTTCCGGGAACATCGCCGCTTCTTTGATGGGCCAAACACAAAGGGAATATGCTGATGGTACCGGTGTAAGTGGTGGTGGCTGGGGATTGTTACCATCGGCTACTGCGTGTACTCCAGTCTCGCCGGACGGAGCGGCTGTAGTAGGCGGAATGACTAAAGCTTTCATTTCAGCTTTGAATACCACTGCAGACGCTGAAGCACTCCCGGGCGATAGTGACGTACCCGCAGAATAACAGAATAACAGAATAATACAGAATAACACTCCGGAAGCGAAACATCAAACAGAAAAACGAATTACAAGACATCAGCTTTAATTACGTTCCAAGCAAAGACTCTGCCGAGGTGTTGGCTCGGAAATTGGTTGAAACAAATCTTCTGGATGGCTGTGACCTACTTTTAGTGGCACATAATGTGAGCAAGCTTATCAGCAATCCGGCTGCTCGGGAACGCATCTTTCCATTAAATTCACCACCAGCTCCTGGTCAGGTCCCCGTTGAATCCGAGTTACACGGATATGCCAAAGTTCTCATTCAACTTGTTGGGTCACCTGTTCCGTGACCATATTTGTACAACAGTCCAATTTTTCTTCGGATTTCCCATTTTGTTACAGCTCTGTCTTCTGTTGGACAAATGAGCTGCCTATTCGTGTAGGCGCGTTCGCATTAAGTTGACGCATCTCAACTGTCACTCTGAATCGACCATCAGCAGTTGCGCAAAAGTGTTATTCCGCTAGCTCATTTTACCTCCGTCTCCCAAATGTCTGCTAACGCCACCAATGGATTGTCTTCCCGTTTTTAATTTCCCGTGATTCCCCCCACCCCCACCCACCCCATCGCACCCCTTTGATTGACTGACTTTCTCCACCTGTCGGTAAACCCCGTACACCGCGCTTTGCGAACATCACTGTATCATTTTGTTTATCATATGCGAAGGGATACCTTCACTTTGTTTACTAGTTCGTATGTGTTTGCGTGCGTGCATTCTTCGGACTTGTCCGTTCCCTCCCTCACACCCACCTACGCTCCTTGTGCGTAATTCCAATGGTATAATTTCCCTGCGCCTTACACATCATAAGTCGACAATTAACTCCAAGGCTTTTCTCCATGTTGCACATCCTAGTTCCGAAATGTGGTTCGCGATAATCTGCAAGCA